GCAAATGTTTATTATTATTATTATTATTATTATTATTATTGTTATTATTATTATTATTATTATTATTATTATTATTATTATTATTATTGTTATTATTATTATTATTATTATTATTATTATTATTATTATTATTATTGTTATTATTATTATTATTATTATTATTATTATTATTATTATTATTATTGTTATTATTATTATTATTATTATTATTATTATTATTATTATTATTATTATTATTATTATTATAGGAATCTTTTCTCTTAGGACATATGATTTACGATAGCGGGTGATATTACGATCGATTTAAGATCTAATATGCGTAAATATGGTAATAAAGGATCAAATTTGTATATTCTGCATAGCAAAAACCGTGTAATATATTTTAATTGAAATTGGAAAAATATTTCTCACAAGAACTTCAGAATATGAATTCGTAATAAAATTTAATGCCAACGTATAGGCGAAATCTTTCATTCTTGTTGTTATACAAGAGTAAGTTTGTAATTTATTAATTGTGCAAAATTGAAATTTCGTCCCATGTAGATGAAATATTTTTCCCGCTAATCCAGCACCTCGTTTTCAATTTCCTAATTAAGCTTTGTTAATTAATCTTTTGAAAAATGTATTAACTAGTAATTAAATGTATTAAATAGTATTAATTAAATTTTCCCTCTATATAATGCACGTGAAATGGAAATTGAAACGTTACGAATTATCGTGAAGGAATTGAAATAATTGCTTTAATTGTTAAACATTCGGGGACGACGGACAAAACTGAAGCCACGTTCGAATGTTCTCTCGGGGACAAATAAAATCATCCGTTTACGCATGAAAAAACTTGTGTATGTGTGACCGTGTGGACGATGGGACTTCGGTGCCCCGAGAAAAGAGAGATAGTATTGATTTTTACTGATATTTAGCAGTGGAATTATCCCCCTCTCAAGTTTCTCTCCTCCTCGCGCTCCTAAGCTTTAAGCTCGAAACTCTTTCCTTCTCGAATGACTGCGTGCGTGCGCGGCTACATCAACCATCTCGTCGCCAAGCTCATCTCGAAATTTCACCTTCCACGCTATACCTCCGCTCTCCTCCTATCCTATCCATTACTCAAATTATTTTTCCAGGTGCTAGGATCTACTGTAACAATTTGCAATGCTTTCATGTATTTCATGGAAAAAAAAAAAAAAAAAAAAAAAAAAAAATGCCACTTTTAATGCCGAATATTATAATGGGAGTGCAACTGAAGCGAGACTAACGACGGCATCGTTACACGCATTTGAAACATTTTGCAATTTAATGAACAAATTAAGACTATTCTTACTTCCTGTCTGTGAATAATTATTACAATTCAATATACTATTTTTATGCTTATTTAAAAAATTCTGTATACATTATTATGAAAAGTATTTATACATGTATTTTTCGACAATTAACGGAATAGTATTGTATGAGAAATTTCTTCTCTCATGTTTTTTCGTCATATTGATATTTCAAAAATTCATACATCAAGCTATTTATTGTTTTATAATTTTTCAATATAATTAAGTTTAAAGAATTTCGTAGAGTAATCTCATTCTTATTATTTTAAACTGTATTCTTTATAGAAATTCAATTCATTTCAATTAATAAGACTAATGAGTTTCTATATCTGCTAATAATTTAATAGAGTAATAATATTTTTCTATTCCTCGAATCTTTCTTCTGGGCATAGAATAATAAAATTAATTGCTTTTATTATATTTTAAAAATAGCCTATATATGTATATATATATATATTGCATGTGTCTACCTATAACTTTTGCATTCTATGATTAAACTACAATTCCTCACTGCAATTCTTTTGTAAAATAATAGTTTGATTAATAGGGCTCTGGTTTATAATTAGCGATTTAAAAAATAACCAATTATTTATTCACCGCTACAATCATAATTAATGACACGAGTGTTCTTTCATTTAGCTTTTTTCTATAATGCTAAAAGGATCGGTAATAAAAGAAAGAAAAAAAGTTTGACACGTCCGATCATTATACTTCTGTTTGATCTAAAATATATTATAGAAGCATGAAATTTGTCTACAATTATATATTATCAAGTATTTTATATGCATTAGAGGTTGTTAAAGTTTCTCGCTAAAACATTTGAACTAAAAATTTTCAATTACGTTATTGAGTATATTATATATAAAATACAAATAAAACAAAAAATTGCTGAGAAAGCTCATTCGAAACGTAACATCAAAGCGTCAGTGATCTTCATTTTAACATAGGTCGTACAGAAAAAATATCATGTTTGAGCGAGTCTGCTCAAACATAAACACCGGGAATTCAACTCGACATTTTTTTTTTAGAGCTATTATATTAAATAAGTAGCGCAGTCGTATAATATTCCTCGAAATATTCTGTGTCCCAATTAGCCAAAGTATTTACAAGGGAATAAATAGGGCCTCGGTATTATCACAACGGGGACTCACTTTCCCTAATATCGAACATAGTGTTCAATACGTGAGTCAATACTTGATGCTAATAATAAGCAAGACGGGGTGGTCTAGTTTTGATAAAATTTTAATAAACTCGGGTCCAACCGCCGTGCTCCCATCAAAGAGACGGGAAAAGAGAAAAGCTCGTCGTCCTTGGGCGCAATCGAAAGAGCGAGTGCACCCTGGAATAGGAATAACCCTGGGCGACGTCTGCGTCTAGGCGAGCGATAGGATGGGAACCTCTAATTTATGGTAGCGAGACTAGTTAACCGTGCACACCGAGCGCTCTCCTTACTAAAATTCAAAAGTTCTCCCCGCGAAAGTTTACGATGCCGCCTAGCCGGCGCGCCGCGCTCGTTTCACCTCTTCTCTCTATATACAGTTCCTTTCATTCGTTCACCTTATATTTCCTTTGCTTTATCTCGCCCACGTCCTTTCCTTCTACTGCCCCTTCTTAAGCTCCAAATCATCCATCCCCACCATCGACAATTGAGCGTTACTTTTTCAAAATACGAATTTTCATTTATTTTGCTTTTCTTATTTGCCTTATATGCTGGCCATCATTTTACGCGCTCTCCTTGTCTGCGCAACAAATTTCGTTTGAGCGAATTTTTTGGTTTAAGGTGTTTCCCTTCTAGCCAGACGTTCACTGTCTCTCCTCTATTTCATATTTTGAGCTTTTCTTATAAGACGTATTTTTATGACACCTATCTCGTTTCGAAATAGCACTTCCATAAATGTCTTCGAGCTGGATTCTAAACTTACTGAAGTACAAAAATATAAACATAATTGATCCGTAAAAAGCACTATATTTATTGATGCTTTAATTACAAGCTCATAAAGTTTCAAAGTAAATGAAAAATAGATATAACAAGAGTACTTTAATTGTAATTATAAATACAATGTGTTAAATCATATAATCGGCAATCTTTATTTAAGCATTTAATAATATTGATACTCTCCACCTTTCACGGTTTTGCACGGTTTTGCACGCTTTTTAAATAAAAATTTTTTTCTTATCTAATTATGAGAAAATTTTGAAAAATATATATTATTTTCACTTTTGTAAAACCGTATATTGACAATTATTTTATTTTAAAACTAAAACACATACAAAATTCCTTTTATCACGTCATTTTTAATATCAAAATTATCGTATAAGTGTACTTGATATGCTATTACATAATGGAAAATATTCTCTAATACTGGACGATATGCAATGAATTAGTATAATGGGTCCGAACGCCCTTAATAAGGCCCCTCTGTATAGTGGAAGTATCAATTGGTATTGTATATTTGTTTTTTGTTTTTCGTTTTTTTTTTGTTTTTTTTTGTTTTTGTTTTTCTTTTGTTCCTTTCGTATATTCCAACGTCGTTGAATTTTAATTTTTATTGTTTTGCGATTTGTTTTTGTTCAATTGACTACGTAAGCATCGATAAATCAGTGTCATGATGCTGGCTTTGGATGTAGGTGCAAATGACAAAAATACACGCTTTGTGTATTAAACTTTAAGCGTTCTTTATTTCGTAATGAACAATTGTCCATGTCCTTCTTTCCTTCTCTGTTATTTTCATTTGCGATATGCTATGGGAAAAACAGCGAGGCTCTAAGCGAGCATCCAGGGGAGCGAGAATCGTCGTCATCACGACGACGTTGCCGTTGCCGGTACTGCTCTTTCACTCTCAGTTTATTGCTGTAGCCAGGAATCTTCTCCTGTCGTCCCTCTCTTACTAGCTGGAAATGATAACACCACCATTAAAGAGATATTAAAGCATGCTTTTCACAGACGGAATAAAGAAAATTTACGTGCGCAGTGGGTTAGTGATAGTAAATGAAGGATGAGCTGTTCATAATTTTTTTTTGTTTTCTTTCACTCTATTAATTTTTTATGAGCTGCTGAGAATAAATATTCTATCTTACTTCAGTAAATAAAGCACGTTTGGGTTGGTACTTGTCAATTTTAAGTGATGGCCTTATCAAATCTAAAAGGTTAAACTATTGTTTGTTTCATGCGTCAAGGAGAGTTTATCCGCTGCTAAATCGTCAAAAATATATGTACTGCTTTTATATACGAGCGTTTAAATATTGTTTGGGGATATGTTGTTGGCATCTACTCAATTAATTTGAAGTACATCACTAATTATATTCATAAAAAAGATTTTGTTTTTTTTTTTTATGGAATTTTTTGTTGGAATAAATTTAAATAAAGTTAAAATTCTCTTTGGTACTACAAAAAGTGTACAGCTTAGTCGAATTGTATTTGGCAAAACGTAATTCAAAAATTTCAATCACTTTCTGATGAACATATATATAAAAAAAAAAAAAAGAAGAAGAAAAAAAAATATATAAACAATGTATCTTTTTATACAAAGAGAGATTTATATGTTTATATGTAGTTTATATATATCATATTTTGTATAAAAATAAAAAGTGCATATCTGAGTAACATTTACAAAAAAAAAAAAAAAAAAAAAAAAAAAAAAAAAAAAAAAAAAAAAAACTTTGATATTACAATGTTATTTTCAGCAAATCATTGCATCGTTTTCACGTATAGCATTATCAACAATCTGTGTATAATGAATCACCGTTCAGAGACGTTAAACAAGGATCGAAGTGGGTACTTAACCAAATAGTCCAAGTTATTGCTTAACCAAGTCGAGGAATATCGAAGACCAAAACAATTTCTATTAAAATTGGTCTTAAAATACTATTAAGCTCCTTATAACTTATTTAATGTAAGATCATGTACGGTTTGTAATGGTATTTCAATGAAATTTTTTTTTCCTATCACAAAATTTTTTTGTGCAGAAAGTAATGAAACAACGGAAGCTGCTTTATAATATACAAATTAAACTGAATTATTTGAAGAGTCGTATTGGCTTAGTCGTCATTAGCCTCGGACTCTATATTACAAGCTTGAACCATCCTTGTCTTACACAATTTACTGAAATGTCTGCATATTAAATAAATTATTCTGTACTGCATGATTGTTATTGCTGTCAACATACATCAAATTTGAACATTACTCGAAGCTGTTGTAGATCAGGCGTAAATTAAAGTTTCATAAACTGATCTAGTCTAAGCAAGATCTTTCTCAAGATCAAGATTAAAAAGAGAAACACTGAATGTATTATTTTATGTATAAAAAGAAAAAAATGAAAATAAAAGATAAATTTTGTTGCGTGATCAGTTTTAATTATATTTTTATACATTTTATGAATAAACACTGTAAATCTGGATAAAAATAAACAGTATATATGAGTAAATTTCACATGAAAACAATTTTTTTTAAATTAAAATAAATTGTACAATTATTGTTGCATTTATTTTCAAAGTTAATAAAGACGTGATTTACTTTTTAGAACAGTGATTTGATATTGGAGCAACTATAAAAGTAAATTCATTTTATTAATTATGATTTTTATATTTGAAAATGTATATTTAATTGTGATTATAAAGGTGTAGTACTGATTAACCATTATTGTTTATAATGCAATCAGTGTTATAATAATTTTTCCATGAAAGTACGTAAGAAGTTTTATCTCTGTAAGTTCATCAAGTATCCTGTGTATAAAATATATTGTATTAAAATATGCTGAAACATCTTGTATTAAAGTTTTCTATTTAGCGTCGTAAACGTCCAAATTGCCGATCCAAAATATCTTACCGATTATCGCGATCGAATTGATATTTAGTTTCGTTGTAACGAAACTATTGTCAAATATATATCTTATAAAATCCTTATCCTAGTACGCTTCTAGGATTTGACTTCTAGAATTTAACTACTCGATTGTTTATTCATGTTATAATTTTATTTAATTGCATCGTAGCATAATTAAATACATTTATTCAGATCCGTACAAATGAGTTTTAGAAAAGGCGAAGGAGGATAATATTACATGATTGGTAACAGTGATAAACTAGTAAATTAGTAAACTAGTAAATTGCTACGCTACGTGAAACTTTGTATGTGAATCTATGTATAATGAAATTTCTCATAATTGCAATTGTTCTAATCGATAAAGTCAATCGATAATTAATAAAAGTTTAAATTATTATTATTATAATTATTATTATAATGCAGGACGGACTTCGTCTTGTGTACAAATATAATAAAATCATACCAAAATTACTTTAACTATCATAGACCTTCGACAGACGATTATACTTTGATGATTTCTAGTTAATTAAATATTATATTTTACCTAGTTTTGCTTATTCCATTTATTTTTTATTATAGTACAAGATTGTTTCTATTAGAAAATGAATTTACCTATTACTTATTGTTATTGAAAATAACTTTCAATCGAATAACAATCAATTATTCAATTCCTAAGGTCAATTAGGATACAATTAAATAAAATTCAAAGTCTATGATACAATTTAATCTTTATTATTAAAAAAATTACAAATCTATAATTAGCTATTCATGCATTTAGAATACCAAAAAGTACTTATGAAAACAATTATATTTAAATTACACGTACATAATACTTTTTCATCCACAATCGTCAAAATATACATTACAATCTTACAGAATCATTCTGAATTACTTATTTTTAAATTATTAATTACGAATGAAATAATTTTATTTTAATAATTTACAAAGTAATCACATACATTATTAAAGTAATATTTCAATATAATTATATTAAAAATCTATATTAATTACAATTGATGCATGTATTGTTTTAGTTTAGTAATTAAATTTTGTGAACGTTAATTATTAAATATTCATTTTTCACTGCTTTTACTATATTAATATTTTTTAAATTAATTTAAAAGCTTCAATACATTATTAACATTGATAATTACAATTAATTTTAATTTTTCGTAAGCCTAAAATTTACACCAATAAATTGTATTTTAATCTCACGACATCGATTGCTTTTATCAATTTGTGCGTAATAAAAAATTCATAAATGGTTTATTAAATTTTAATGATTAACAATGAGTTTGTATCTACTAACAATACACCATTAATATTTGATCAGTAGCATGGGATTATGTAATTATAGAATAATGGCGATTACAGTTCTAATCATTTTGCTCAGTTTGTAATAATAATGAATTAGTTTGAAATATAATAGAAAATACATTTATACTTCCTCAATGCGTATTAAACAATTCATAAACACTTATTTATTAAGCTTAAAAAATTAAAAGACTTAATTATTTTGACTATATAATAAAAAGTGTAATATTCAGATTTATTTTGCAATACTGTACCAGATCATAAGTCAAACCAATACATGATTTTTACACGCATATTATTTATAACGATTTAATATGTTCTAGTAGCAATAAATATTCAATACAAAGTATGATTCATTTGCTGAATGTCATGATATCATAATATGTTTATTGTTTTCAGATGGAATAATTTGATTGCTGTTATTTCTTTTTAAATAAACTTATATTGAAGAAAATATGAATTTGAATCGATTGCATATTATTGGCAAAATGATATTACTTAATTTGCTACCAATTCAGTCTTCCGTTTGTTTATATTAATAATTTAAACCTTGATCTACTTCATCGACAATGACTAATGCTTCTGTCGAATCTAATTAATCCGAATTAGAAGGCTAATTTAATTAATCCAAGATTATCGATCAATTTATACTTTTATTAATAAAAATTTTAAGTTCATTTTATTTTACCCATACGTTCAATGTCTCTCGAGCTGTGCAATTTACTTATTTTAGCGAATATATAATTTATTCATCTATACAATGATGTAATTCTCATATTTCACACTGTCATTTGGAAAATCTAAATTTTTACATTCATAATTTTTATGTTTTTATGTATTTTTAATATACGCAAACTAATGAATAATATTTTAATATTAATGAATTGTTAATTTATGTAATTAAAAAAAAAATGTAAAGCCAAATTTTAATTAATAATTAAATCTATTGTTGTTCTATTCTATATCTATTCTTGTTTTTTTTTGTTTTTGTTTTTGTTTTTAATTTTATTCCTTATAATTATAAGAAAATATGAAATTCTTTTACTCGACACACGTTGCATCCTTTTTTTTTTTTTTTTTTTACTTTCGTTAGTACAATTATTTTAATGTCCCGACGTATATATCTAGCATTTTCTAAATTATATGCTCATTGAAATTTCCATACTTTTATATGCTCGAGAGCGTGAAATTTGCTGTTTAAAAAAAATTTATCATATTTCATCAATCGAACGATATACTCAAAACTTGAAAATTAAATTTAAATTTAATATAAAAGTTTTGAGATTAAATATGGCAAATGAAGGGCAAGGAGAAAGTAAATACATTAGATTATTATAGCCTTAACGAATAAGAATGCATTATGATAAATATATTTTGATAACCTGAAATTTCGGTTGTCCTTGTTTTGAACAAGTCGGTGTCGTGCGGTAACATGTGTTACCGTAATATGCGCCTTGGTTCTCATTCATGTACACATAGGCATTAGGAACGTATGAGTCATTGGTGATTATTCGCACAATGGCACATCTGGTCAGTTTCTTGGACTGTCAACATCGGTCGATTTGCTGCGTACGGCTTTGGAAATTGGGTGCGTGGGCACATGAGAGAGAGAGAGAGAGAGAGAGAGAGAGAGAGAGAGAGAGAGAGAGAGAGAGTACGCGTACAGTTAAACTACATAGAGCGTGCATTTAATTTAATACTATATATTCAGCCACATAGGATAATAAAAACTTAAATATTATTTGTAAATTAAGTATGAACGTGTATCAGGGATCATTGCTCATTATATACAGTACACGCGTGAGCCGAGTTTATTCATTTCGATTTTTTACAGGTTATTTCGAGCTACTTCAATGTTAATTATAAGATTTTCCAAAATTGTCGTGTAAAAATTGAGAAGAGGAAGTATAAAAATTATTGACTATTTATTGCAACAATCATAAAAATTATACTTGTATTATTAATTTACTATATATATTTATTTATCTCAATATAGAAGGTCGAATAATTAATGTGTTAAAGAGTTTTACTATTTTATCACTAAAAATGCATGTTATATTTTTTTTTTTTTTTTTTTTTTTTTTTTTTTTTTGTGCAAAAACTACCACAGTCGAGTATTTTGTTTGGAAAGCGAGAATCCAAGCAATCTTATGCTAACATAAAGAAATTAAAAAATTCGAGAATAGAAAATTTTGAGATTACGGGGCAGATGTCAATGATAATTGTTAATACAATATCGCATGAAGTATCATTGACAATGCGTAAATCTATTGCAATTGTTTGGATTGCGCGACAAAGCAGCAGTATACCTCTTAAATAACAATTATAAATTACGATTACGCAATATAAGGTCAGAGACGGACGATCGAGGTAGTGCAAATCGATGCAGGCACTCGCACGAAATCCAACGAAATCAGTCTCCCGCGATACAACAGCTGGCGATCTTAATAGGGCATGGCTCTAAGCGCCCATCTTGCCTTTCGTTTATTCGTTCGTTATCTAAAGGCATCGCGTGACTTTGCCACTTTTACCCTTACAGCCGCTAATATGGCGCCCAAATTAAATGCTCGACAGTATAAAGATTTCTGAGAGTTGTCTGTGAGTACTGAGCGTCGTATCTGTCGCTCTTCCTTATTCTGAGCTCGATGACCGTAAGGGATGACGGCCTTATCGCGTGGATATTTACTATATTTCACCGGCAAGTTTTATTTTTCAACCGCTTGGGAAAGTGTGAGAATGAGAATGCGTCGGTATTGTAAGAGCTCTGCCGAGAATGCGTAGCCGATACTTTTTAAAAGCAGCAACATCATTTGCGGCTTTGGATTCCATCAAGCGGAAGGATTAATGAACATGGTGTCTTGGTGGACAATTGTTTTCTAGTCAAGAGAGCTAGAAGCAAGTGCTTTGTAAATAGGATTGTTCGTATGTTTTGAATTACGTTTGTCCAAGTAGACGGGAGCGCATGAATATATTTTGTACATTTCACATATCTAATTTATGTAAAATGCATCGTTTAATAAATTAAGTAAGTAAATAAAGGTTTGAATGAAACATCTTTAGCTTGTGGATTAATATCAAGAGAATTAATCGTATAATCAGGTTAAAATTTACATCAGTTTCCATTTCTTCCGATTCAGCGTATCAAAATGATACAGCAACATTTGCAATTCGATAAA